CCTCACACTACCTACCTAAACTGATCAGTACAGATACTACACTTGATCTTAGCCAAAAGGCCGAGAAAGGTATATTCTCTCAATTTCACCTCACAATACGTACCTACCACTACTCCTAATTGTAAGCATACAGGGAACCCGTAGCAGCCAGAACCGTCTTCCTGGCAGTACACACGACCTCCTTTTCTTTGTGTCGGCCTTTTTGTGGAAATGAAGAAGCACTGTTGCAAGGTCACAATATTGCCGCCCCCCCCCCCAAAAAAGTTTGGAAAACACGAGGCTGCTACAGTGAGGGCATACTCACACGGCCACCCCGAATCAAAGGGCCGATTTGAGGTTTTGGGGATGGTTCACGTCACACTGCTGTACCTTTTCAGATGGGACAAGGTCGCGGCCGTCTGGAGAAATGGGGATTTGGTAATTGAATGGTCACACGGGGCCATCTACAAATTGTGCAAGAACTTTTGTGAACGAATTTTTGCCAATTTTTGAAGAAAATGCAAAAAAAAAAAAGGACATTTGCGGTCACCTCCAGAGGGGACCGCAAAATCCCTTGGTCCGCGGCTTCCCAGGCCGCTGACAAATTGGCACAGGAATAGTACATTTGCGAATTTGGTAGATCCGTGTGATAGTCCTTTTCCCCTCTTTTTTTGGGATTTTGGGATTATAGGTCCCCCTGTGAGGGCACACTCAGACTTCGGTAGCAAATCCGTATATATTGCAAAAATGGGTTGGGCCGAATTGGGGTATTTGGGACATTTCAGGTCACACTGCGTTCACACCACGTTCCCATTTTGGTAAAGACACAGTCGCTACCATTTCGCTAAAGACAAGGTCGTGCCATCAGGGTGCTGCTGTTTGGGGTTTCCAGTCACACAGAAGTAACCCCAAATAGAGAACGTACATGTTCCCTTTTCCACTTTGCATTCATTTACAAAAATTAAATTAAAAAAAAAAAGGATTTTGCGGTAACCTCTGGAGGTTACCGCAAATTCCTCAAACCCGCGGCCGGGCTGGCCGCTGACAAATGGGTTTGCGAATGGGGTGTTTGGGGTCGGAACCATTGTGTGTGACCAGCCGTGTGCAGGGTGCTGCTGTTTGGGGTTTCCAGTCACACAGAAGTAACCCCAAATAGAGAACGTACATGTTCCCTTTTCCACTTTGCATTCATTTACGAAAATTAAATAAATAAAAAAAAGGATTTTGCGGTAACCTCTGGCGGTTACCGCAAATTCCTCAAACCCGCGGCCGGGCAGGCTGCTGACAAATGAGTTTGCGAATGGGGTGTTTGGGGTCGGAACAATTGTGTGTGACCAGCCGTGTGCACATTTTTTTGGGAGTTTTACGGTTTTCGTACCCAGTGTGAGCGTGCCCTGAGTACGCCCTGATTTTGAAATAAAAGAGAAAGGAACAAACAGTGAACGTACAACGCAAATTTTTTTTATTTTTTTTTTATATAATAAAGGCTAATTCTTTAAGCCCAACCAATTCAATTACCTGTCAAATCTGGACAGGACGGCCTTTCAGGCCTTTTTTATTGTCATTATAGTATTATGGGGAACCCCGTAGCAGCCACATCCGTGCTCAAGCCTCCAACGAGGGAACATGCRGGAGCTGCACCCRCCAGCAGGTGCGATACCTGCTACAGCAGGTGGGCGATACCGGCCAGGGGTCAGCCGGTAGCATCAGGACCGAGCTTCTTCGATGGGCCAGTCACTGTGCCTCCCCTCYGGTCCCCTCCCCCTRTGAACATCAGCAGTCTCTGCTCAATGCCACWCGGGGGGAYCAACGGCATATCTCTAGGTGGCGGGCGCCAAGCTTGCCCAGGAAGGTACATGAGGCCAATGGGGATTGAACCCAAGACCTCCTGAATGTCACTTGCGTGCCTTACCAACTGAGCTAGGCCGCCGGACCAAAAAAAAAGAAAGAAAAAAAAAAAAAAAAAAAAAAAACTTTTTCCCTTTTCCTGAATCAGTTCAAAACTCAGAATGCTGCATGATTTCCTCTCCGTCGATGGCGTGTAGCAATCCAACTGTGTCGCAAGTGATTGAAAACCGTACGTACTGTAATGTACACGATATAATACGGCGCTAGTGGGTCCTGGCCCCAGGGGCCATGTTAATCTATCTTATGTCCTAGGGCATAGGGGCTCGTTCGACACTCCTCGGGCGCGTAAAATCCCCGCGGAAATCATCGTTCCACCTATCCTCGGGGAACAAAACGGAAAAAAAATGTGAAAACATTTCCTCGGGGTTTCCTCGGGGATTCCTCGGGCTACAGCCATTTCGACGCGTTCCCCAAGGGACCTCCCGAGGTCCCGTGGAGGTCGAGCATCCAGAAGAATCGGAGCGTCGCCGACAGCTCTCTCGATGACAATTTTCGACGCGGCTGGTCCATTGCTGTTCCTGGCGGCCAGTGGACGGACATCTCCGGTTGGCAACGGTCGGCGTCATGGAATACTTCGCCAACGGTCCCTTCGGCGGCCTGCCGTCCTTCGCGACATCGGAAAGGGGCTGCCTTGCGTTGCCGCCCTTCGACACTGGTGGGAAAGCGGCCAACGGTCGGCAGATTCGAATGCTTCAGGCCGCCCCCCCTTTCCCGACCGCGTTGTGTCTTCCGCGACAGAGCACGTTACCCACCGTTTGTCGTTAGCTGCGATCGGCCGCTTTCGGCAGAGTGACCGTCGACGTTTCCTATACGTCCACGGCTGTCTTTCAGGTGCTCGTGCGTTTCATGGCCGACATATTTCGGAGGCTGCCACTGCTGGTGCTGGTCGTTCGCCTGCTTCTCCTCGTAGTGCTCTTCCACGTTTGTGTCGTCGGCATCGTTCCGCGACGTGGGCGCAGGCAACGGTGTGCAAAGAAGGACGTCAGTATGGATGGGCGGCAGGCGGTTTGCAGGTCTGCAGGGGGTGAGGGTGGTGGCCAACGGGCCGGGCAGAGCCCGTGTAGAGGTTCAAAGGCGGTGGAGCGGTCGGAGTACTCGCACCTGCCACCACACTTGCAGCCTTTGCCAGACACATCGGACGAGGAGGAGGACGACAGACGTTCACGTGCCGTGGCACTGGGAAGCGGGTCTACACAGGAGTTGACGGCCACAGAGCTTTGTGGAAGCCACAATCCCAGTTATGGGCAGTCGTACACCCAGCTCCTCCAGCAGGGCCTGAGCGGCGACGAAGGAGATGGACGTGTGAATCTGACGTTCGGTCTGTGCAGTGGGAGGTCGTCATCTTCGACGCGGTCAGTGCTAGTCGACAACCGTCCTGATGACGACGGCGACCAGGTGACGGCTGTTGCACGATCGTCGAAGTCTCCAGCGTCGTCGGTCCGCATGGCGTCAGGGAACAACAGGGATCCTTGTACGCAGCAATACATGGCGCCGGCTGCCTCAAGGGGTGCCTCGGCTCGCCCGTCGTGGATGTTGTCCCCGTCTCCCTTGTCCGCCAATTCGAGTGCGGCTCGCAATCGGGGGGAATGCCGGGAGCATGATTGCGGGATCGAGGAAAGAGGTGACGCATGCGACGGAAGGGAGGTGTGGGAAGAACAACGACGGATGCTCCATTCGCGACGGCAAAAATCCATAACACGGGGCGTGCAGCGACTGCAAGTGGTGGACGACGAAAACGATGGCGACGCACCTGATGTTCGCGGCAACGATCAGGACTTGAACGACGATGACTGCGGGGGTGGGGAGGACGACGCATGGCAAGTGTCGCCATCCAAGCAAGGCAGCATGGGGGGGAAGGGCGGGAGGGCGAAGGCGTCTGTTCGCAACGGTCGGCGAGGGAAGAAGGCGATGAGGAAGGGGATCGACGTCGAAGCTGACGGCGATGCAGAAGGCGGTCGTCATTTCTGGTTTGTCGACGACATGGTGGCCCTGATACAGGCTAAACGTGACCAGGACGCGCATTTGCAGGGAATGGGCACCGCGTACGCTCGTATGAAGCCGCGAGAATGGAAGTGGTTGGATGTGGAGCCAAGGCCTCCGCGCGTGCCCATAAACTGGACAGATGGACGATCCTGACGTTGTGGCAACTTCCCGGGTAACGGACGAACACATCCAGCACGAGCAAGTTCAAATCCACGACAACCTGTGCCTGCATGGAGAAACGCTGTTTCCTATCGTAGTAGTCCTCCCCGGGGCAATTCGCAGGCTTGTCGATGAAGATGTGGGTGCAGTCGATGCACCCATGGCAGTTGGGGAAACCCTTAACAGCGAAAGCGTGCAAGACAACCGCCTTCTGCAGACCCGTCGGCCACGAGATCTTGTAAGGGAATGCACTGAGCAACGCCGCAGTCACATCCCGCACCGCCACCAACCCGGAAGATCAGCCAATGCCAAAGCTGCATGTCCCGCTCTCGTATGTCTCCCCCGACGCCCACCTGTACAAAGCGTAGGCGACAATCTTGTCTGGCTGGAGGGGCTCCCTACAGAAAGTGACACGTCGCTCAAGGAAGGGAGACAGAGCTTCCGTTATCTCTCGGAATACACGTGGCGACATTCGTAGCTTCTCCCTGAAGTAGTCCGCCGTCGCGTCGTCGCATAGCCGGAGATCCTCCCATGTGCCGCCTGTACGTCGCTTCATCCACCATTTGGGCATCGCTCTGGGGAACGCTACACAACCCATGGCGTAGCACACCTGCAGCACATCGTCGCAAATGGTAGCGCGACGCGGGCCGCACAACAGCGCTGCCAGCAGTGAAGACGACAGTGCTCAGCGCAACTGGCGATGGAAATCCACGTTCGCGAAAGCGGGAGGACGAACGCGATCGTGTCACGCCGTGTCCATTCCTTCCAACGCGTACATGTACATTCCGCGTGTCGTCAGAAGCGCGCCGCCACCAAAATCCAAAACGTCCACCATCGAACAATGTCGCCGCCGTCACCCGCAAGGGACGCCCACGCTTGTACACGCTTGTTCGCAAAAATTCGAATTCAAATTTCGAACTGGGACACCGCGCCTTTTTCGTGCCATTTTTTTTTTCCCGCCGCAGACCCCAGTCGTGCACGCCACCAACACTGGACCATCGACACCCACACGGACATGCAGCATGGACCAAACACCGACCCCCCCCCCGTGTCCACTCGTCGATATATGAAATTGGCCGCGGGACGCCTCGAGAAATCGTCCTCGGGGAACATTTTCGGGGATGAGTGGAACAAAGGCAGGATTTTCCTCCGGCGACTCCAAGGAATTGTCCTCGGGGCCCGAGGATGCCCCGAGGAGTGTCGAACGAGCCCCATACTCACATTAACACTTTTTCACTTATTTTTGGACGGAATTATTGCTAGATGCTTACAGATCAGGCCATGAGGTCCAATACATTTACCATTTTGCTAGTGTAAGCAAGCCCTTAAAAGTGAAAGTGAAAACCAAAGAAAAGAAATCTATCTTTTCTGTGTGTAGTTCCAATTTTGACAGCTCTCCCGAATTCCGCTCCTGGCATTTGCGCAACTGTGGGCATACTCACACTTGGACCTTTTTACTTTTTTCAGACATGATTCCAGTCAGATGCATCCAGGTCTGGCGTAATTGCTGTCAGATGTATTTGAAAAAAGTGTTAGTGTAAGTGTGTCATCTGTAGGTTGGGAAAGTTTTGCATTGCAGCATATCGGAGCACAAAAGTTAGGGCCTCGTCATAGTAGTCTCAAAACCGTGAAATATTCGCCAACTGTCAGAGCATTTTCGACATTCACAGTTTCGACACAAAGGCCGCCTTCACCACACCGTATGTCGAAGACCAAAAGTTTCGTTGTTAGAAAAGGGAAAAAAGAAAAGAAGAAAGAAGAAGACACGGGATGTGGCAGCGCCGGTACCTGGAGCCTGATAGATGTCGAAATCTACACATCCTTCACAACCTCATTTAGGAGATGTTGAAATGTGACGAGCAGTTTTCTACAACCGCGCGGGTTTCTGCGCAAGGCTATATGATGAGGGGGGGGGGGAAGAATTGGTTGAGTAGGAATGGTCTGGCAGATTGCATGGATGCCCCTGCTTTTCCTTATCTCTTTCGATTAAAGGTCGGTGTGGTCCCACATAGGTTGATAGTTGATTGCGTCTCAGCGAGCGCGAGGTTGCCATAGCTTCTTTCTTGTTTTGCTGTGGGAAATGGGAATTTCGACATGATTCTCGCGAGGGGAAATCTTTTTGAATTTTCAACCGATGTCGAGCCCCCGCGGGCTCTCAGAATTTGCTTCGTTTGGATTTTCTTTGCAATTAGGATTTAGACTAGGAGTTTGGGCGCATCTCAATTTCTTCTGCGCGGCGCTTCCTGCTTGCGGACATTCGACCACGTCAGGAACTGTGTTCTGACTTTTCCCCGCTTTAATCTCGTGTGTAACTGTCATCTTTGTTTTGGCGTGCGTGATTGTGAATGTAATCCTCTCGTTCTTGATTTTTTTTGTGGCACCCTTGTGCGCACATACGTGTGGCGGACCCACCAGGTGTGGTGCTCCGCCTGGGATAGAGATGGAGGTGGAGGAAGAAGGGGGAGCGAGATGGCACAGTGCAGCTCCCACGCTAGACTCCAACGCGCGTATTCCAAATTGTGCGAATGTAGAATGAAACGGAAAACAGACAACAGTTGGGGTATACCCCAGCGGACTGACGGTGTCGGTGCGAATACCCTTACAAGGGTATCCGCCCTGGTTTTTGCAAGTGACAAGAAAATAAGTTTGGTTTAAGAATTTAACTATTCCGCGCGAGGGCGCGGCTGTGTCTGTGGTCAGCGTTGACTGAATAGTGAACCAAAGTAAAGAGTGTGTGGGTGCACAGAGTTAAGGCGCGCGTGTGATTTTTCCTTTTGATCGTGAAGCCGGCTTAGTTGACCAGCCAGAGTTTTATTACTGAATATGCTAAGGGCTAGAAGGTTTTCGTCTTTTTGGTCGGCGCGTTTGCTCGGTGGTAGGTTTCGCGTATGGGGTGATGCGCGCGGCGGCCACGACACAGTTGGACCAAACCAGCGGGAATGCTTAGCTGTTCGCCGATGGAGAAGTGGCCCAGAACGCTGTTTTAGCTGGGCGCTGCGCAGCACTTCTTTATATAAAGCTTTGTGCATGTTGAATTTAGGCTTGGGTTTAGCCCTATAGGTTACGATGTTGGATTTGTGAAACAGAGGTGCGGGGTTTGAGGCGAGTCGACGGCAGCGTGGGAGTGGCGGAGCGTTGAAGGGGTTGAGGGGTTGAGGGTCCCGCGGGACTATCCCCCTTAGTTTTTGTTGGGGAAGTCTGGTTGCGGGCCCACTTGGCAGAACCAGAGAATTGCCAGTAGGTCCCGGTCCCTCTTTCCCGGTCGGTATTATTTTTATTACCTTTGTTATTCTCTATGATAAATTGGGTATCTGGCGGGATAATCTGGTCGGATTATCTAGCCGGATGATGGGGGGTAGGATCATCCGAAAATCCGGATGATTAAAAAAAAGGCCAAAAAAAAAGCAAAAAAAAAAAAAAAAAAAAAAGTGATATTGCGCATGCAAAATACAATAGAACTACATTCCTATTTCATGAAAAGCTTGATAGGGCATTGAAGGGTTCAAAAGGGGTAAGATAGGGAATAAAGGGGTTTAGAGGGGGGATGCTTATATCATTCTATAATTTTTTATTTTAATATTATTTTCTTCTTCTGTTTTATTTTTTATCTTTATATTTGTTGAGATATCAAAGATGACCTCAATCCAAATGTTGTTCGTATCATTCATCTGAACAACATACTTTTTTTCCAGATTTTTTTGATTTTTTTTTTTTTGGTAAAAAAAAATATTTTGCGCAGGGCCAGATTTTCCATATCCGGGATTAATCCGGAAAATTCATCCGGATTGAAAATTCCGGATAAAATTGGTCTGCCGGATATCCGAAATTTTATCATAGATTATTCTTGTTATTTTTATTTTTCCTCCTTTGGAGTCCGGGACCGATACCGGCCCTGAGACGGGCTGGTGAGTCGAGCACCCATCTTAGTAAGTACACCCTTGAACTGTCGAAGTACAGACCCATGTTCGAACCTAGATGATGAAACTTGATGAATAAAACAAAATTTTTTGAGTTGCCCGGGACCGCTCCAGCCTCGGTAGACCCACAGGGCGCTACCGCGGCTAAGTCCTTCGGGGCATCTGCAAAAGTCGGAACGATACAGGGAAGGCTGGCACGGTCCCTGCGGGAGGATGACGGGCGTAAAGCAGAACGGGGGCTGACGGTCGTTTTTTTTTTTTCTTTCCACTTTTCCATACCCGTCGGACTAACATGGTGTTGGCGGTGCGTGTTGGCGTCAAGTTCGTCAACATGAGAACAGACGGAGGTGAGGAGAAAGACATGATGAAAATGACGAAGTCCGAGAGGAATCAAGGGAGAGCGTGGGTTGACGAGGGAGAGTTGGGGAGCACCAAGAGGGACGGAACGAACGTGAGAGGACAGCTAGGCAGCGGTGAAACGGGCAGTAGAAAAGGACTGAACCCGGACGCAAAGTGGCGCCAGGTGCATTAGCGGAAGGTGGTGGTGAAGAGGTGGTCGGGTGCAGTCATGGAGGTATAGTGATCGTGATCCTGGTTTGGTTTCACCGGGATGAGAGGTGAATCCGGGGTTGTGTTCCCAGGTGAGTCCGAATCCATGATTAGAAAAGCACGACAAAGAGTATGTGAGTGGCTAGAGGATAAAGATCTTTGCAGGAAGATCGAGGGAAGGTGAGTGAGGTGCAACGGGAAAGGAACAGCTCGCGCGAGTTCCAATTGGGCGCGGAAAGAAGCAAGATGGAGGTTTAGAGGGAAGGCGAATTCAATTCTGTAGTTAGTTTGACCAGAGAGTTCGTAGGTTTGGAGTTAGCAGAGGTAAGGGGTGCGCCGAGCTATGGTGGAAGTAGGATTGGTAGAGATCGGAGGTTGAGTATCGCTCTTGTTATCAGGCAAAATCAAGCGGGAGGAGCGTAGAACAGAGAGGGAGAAAAAAAACGCTTATCTCAGTAGAGCCGGTGATGTGGGATGAATCAATAGTTGGCCTGCGGCCGAATTGCGTTGGTCCGGCACGTATGTTTGTCTATATTCTGGCGGAAAATCCCATCGACGGGAGGGAGGGCGAGACAAGCTGCAAGGGTTATA